GTAGGGAAGAGAGCAGGAAGACAATCTGGTATTGCAGACAGCTGGGTGTAGTGTTCTGCAGATCACACTGTTTGGTGAAGCCTCAGCTGTGTGTGCATAGGTTTTCAAGGGCTGGGGTAGCTGGAGGCTGCAGACTGGGGTCAAGAGGCTCCATATATCCAAAGCGGGGGACATGAATGAGCCTTTATGTGCACCAGCCTTGTATCCCAGTGACTCTAAGGTCCTCTCAGAAAGGTCCCCTCCCTCTCACATACATACACACATGCACCAACCTAGCAGATGCCAGGACTTTGTCCAAGCAGCCTCTGAGCAGGGCAGGTGATCACCCCCATTACCTGGGGCCAGTTCTTCCCAGGCTCACGTTACTCCCCTGCAGCCCCAGCTGCCTTGATGGGGATTTGTAACAGGGATGAATGGGGTGGGGGGGAGGGGGGTGGCAGAGAAGAGGGGTGGGAAGGATGACTCTTCCTGGGCAATTACGGCTCCTGTAGCCTTGGGGGTGAGATCATTCCGCACATGCTCAGTGCCAGAGGCCCAGCCAGCTGCGATTCAGATAGGAGAGCCCAGCCCTTTCGAAAACACCTGGCACACAGCAGCTGCTTGGATTCCTTCTCCACTGAGGTCATCTGTGGAGGGGAGTGAGGGGGGGCACTTGCCACATCCACTCCTCCTGCGCCAGCATGGGTTCCTGCAATCTGCCTCACACAGATGGGTGCAAGGCGAGGGCAGCCATGGGCTTTCAGGGAGAAAAAACTCACTTCAGCAATTGCAAGCAAATTCTAGCCTGGCGAGGACATTCCAACCTCCTGGATGAAAGCTGCCTGCTTCCTGCCAAGGCCTGACCAGCACTGGAGAACACCAGGGAAAAGAGAAGTTGTTGTTCCCTTGATGGGCAGGGGAAGCCAGGAGGAAGGAGGGTGACCAGTTCCTTCCTTTGATTGCAACTGCCCTCTCTTGTTTGGCAGGTTCCCCCAGAGGGTCTCCCCATATTCATACATCTCCACAGCCAGCACAGAAGGAACCATTACTATCTGTCTCATAGGTATGGGGAAACTGAGGCATACAGTGAGTCTGTCATCAGTGACATAGGAACAGAACTTAAGTCCTGTTGGTCAGAAGGGACCTGAGCAGATCATCAAGTCTGACCCCCTGCCATGGGCAGGAAAGAG